CCTTTCTCCACACCTCCTTTATTGTCTCCTCCTCCCTTTTCTCTTCTTCCTCCTTCCTCTTCTTCCACTGCTGGGGATCAAATCCAGAACCTTCCACAGGCTGTGAAAGCACTCAGTTCCCTCTCCCTCCCACATACCACCCATCCCACCCCCTATCCACTCCTCAGAGAGGGTGAGGCCTCCAATGTGGTATCATCAAAGGCATTCACATCATTTGGGGGTAGGGCCTAGACCCTCTCTGGTGTATTTAGGTTGAGAGAATATCCTTCCATAGGGAATGGACTCCCAAAGCTCATTCATGCACTAGGGATAAATACTGGTTCCTCTGCCAGAAGTCCCATAGACTGCCCAGGCTTCACAACTGACACCCAAGTTCAGCGGGTCTGATTTGGTCCTATGCTGGTTCTCCAGCTGTCTGACTGGGGTCTGTGAAGTCCCACTAGCTCAGGTTAGCTCTGTCTCTGTGGGTTTCCCCAGAATAGTCTTGACCCCTTTGCTCATCACTCCTCCCTTTCTGTACTGAATCCCAGGATTTTGGCTCAATGCTTAGCTGTGAAGTTCTGCTTCTGCTTCCATTAGCTACTAGATGAAAGCTCTAGGATGGCATTTAAGGTAGTCATCTATCTCATTATAGGGAAAGGACATGTAATGTAGCCACTCCACTCTTGCTTAGGTTCTTAGCTGGAGTTATCCTTGTGGATCTCTAGTCATTTCCCTAGTGGCAGATTTCTCTTTAAACCTATAATGGTACCCTCTATTTAGATATCTCTTTTCTTGCTCTTCTCTATTCTTTCCCCAACTCCATCTTCCCGAACCCTCATGTTCTCCTTCCCCATTTTTCCTTCCTCTTTCTTCTACCTATTTCCCCCAGTGCTCCCAATTGCTCAGGAGATCTTTTCCCTTCCCCTTTCACTGAGGGACTATGTATGCCTCTCTTTTGGGTCCTCCTTTTTCCCAGCTTCTCTGGGGTTGTGGGTTGTAAGCTGGTTATCCTTTGCTTTATTTCTAGTATCCACTTATGCATGAGTACATATCATGGCCCTGAATTATAAACTGAGGTACTCAACAATAGTTTTTACCTTTCTCAAGCTCAGATGCTGGCATTGTTAGCTCCAGACTATATCTTAGTTTTCAGCTTTGCACCCAAAGATTTCTTACTGTACATACACAGTCACACTAATATATAAATCACTATATCGTGCTTCTTGGCCTACAAAGCAGAGTCTCCTTGTTCAGAGTCCTGTTCTGAGATCCCCAGTCATGTCAGCAGCACAGAATGTAGATATTTATCTCCTTTGCCTACCTGATTCTGACATGATATTTACCTTCCCTCTTCTGTGGTAGAAAAGAACCTCCAGGGAAGCACATGAAATTGGAAAGCTCTGCTCACAATGTACAGTCTTGGCTGCTTATTTTTGTAATGTATGAAATAGTTATTTTACATATTTTTCAAATTTCAGAGTTGTATTCATTGGAATGTTACCGGTTATATTATTTTGGCAGGAAACAGAATCCAGAATGTTTGTTTTGTTGATGATTTGAATATCCTCTTCTAGGTTTTGTGTTTTATTAATAACTATGAATGTATTAGGTCTTCTGACCCTGGCTACTAATGAAAGACATTCTAGAGTTCAGGTTAGCTGCTAATCATATTTATTAATATTTTGATTTCATTACTAAGTGCATCTTTTCATTTCCCAACAAATAATTACTAAACAACTAGGAGCTCTATTTTAATCCCCTGCACAATGCATATGGTTATATGATAGTTTCTTGTTTATTTTGTTTATCATCTAGTTTCTTCAATTAAAATCATTTGTTGACAGAGAAAATTTTGTTTGGGTTCTTAACATTTCTGTTTTCAACATTCAGAATAATGCCTGTAATTCACAGATCACTCAGTAAACCGAAGACAGAGATGTGAGAGGATGCGCATATGACTCACAATGTTTTGTGCCATCAGAAGGCTAACTTTAATACATCATTGGCTTTGTGACAGAATAGAATTTTTAAAGGCAGATATTCCATTGGTAGTATCTGGAAAGGAAGTGTATTTTTTTTTTCCAACTTCCAACTGTCTTGCTCTTAGTGAGCCTCAGCTCACAGCATGGCAGTTATAAGTGTAGGGTCAGATGTACTTGATTGACAATCATGAACACAACTTATTAACCACCTCTATACCTACATATTTCATAACAATAATAGCACTTATTTCATAGGCTTAGAGATATCAGAAAATAACTATAAACCACTTAGAAGACCGTTTCACATATTGTAAGTATTGAGCACCTCTCTTATTTCTGTCTTCCCTGTCACTATTACTTCAAAGAAAATTAAAGGTTCTTAAATCTATTCTGATTGTTTTCAGCCATAGCAAAATTATAAAAGATTACTAGGGGTATCCAGATCAACAATAATGTCATTTCTTGGAAGAGGTGTAGTTTTCAAGATAATATGATCACCAGACATATATTTATGTAACTTAATTGGTTAAATTTTAGTCGGACTCCTGAACCAATGCTTTTAGGTCACAGCTTCTAGCTCTAAACTTATAACAATGAGTGTGAACAGGACCATTATAATAATTTTTAAGCTTACTGTGCCCATGAGGTAATAGGAACTGGCTTCCTTCCTAGGAAAAGTACAAGTTTCTGGTTTGGGATCACAAAGAAAGTTTGTCTGTTGGCCTTTATGAATAGAGTACTGTAAGGATATTAAATTACTGCCTCATGAACACCTGACAAGTAAACTTTTTATCTGTTCATGGGATTATGCACCTGTAGCTGACAGATGGTATTTTATGCAAGCTAATGTCTTTGTAAAGTCTTACAACTTTCATTGGAGAATACTATTCTTTTAATGCCATTCATGGGCTGTTTTATTAGTGGAAATCATTGTATCTATGACATGTTATGTTAAGCCCATGTATCTGCCCTCATTGCACTATAATTTTATATTAAAGTAGTAGCAATGCTGCAGGAATTGGTTCAGAAAGAGTCTTTCTAGTAAAGTTCATTGTAATATATATTGTATCACTGTCCAAAATAATCAGGAATATATTTTATTATTTCACACATTTGTTATAAAACGAAAATAGCACAGAAGACTGTATCTTTTTTAACTTCATTTCTCTCTCTCTCTCTCTCTCTCTCTCTCTCTGTGTGTGTGTGTGTGTGTGTGTGTATGTGTGTGTGTGTGTGTGTGTGTGTGTGTATGTGTGTGCCTATGTGTGCATGCCTAAAAGAGTTTTTAATGCAGTTTATGGTACTTTGTCTGTGCAGGCCAGAAGAAGGCATCAGGTTCCATGGATATATTGTTACTGGTTGTTGTGATCCACTTGATTTAAGAACTGGGAGCTAAACCCAGAAACTCTGGAAGAACAATGAGTTTTGTTAAACACTGAGACAACTCTCCAACCCTGAAAACGGCTTCTTATAAAGGAAAGCCAGGCAAATATTAAGCTTTTCATTTTCAGGCTTTGTATTTTTGTGTCTCTGTTTATTTTAGAGATTGTAATTTAATTTCTTCCTTCCATTTGTTTCCATTTCCTCCCTCCAAGCCCTCCCATACAAGTTCATGACTTCTTTGTTTTTCAGTAATTGTTTCACATGCCTATATGCATATACATATACAACTCTAAAAGTAACCAGTTGAGACTGTATAATTTTATTTGTATTATGCTTTCAGGGCTGACTATTTGGCACTGAACAACAAATTGGTGTGCTTTTCACTGGGAGGACCACCTCTCATGCTCCCAGCTTTACTCAGGAAACCACAACCAATGGGCAGAGTTGTAGAACCAAGTCCCAACAAATGCATCTACAAAACATTGTCCTTCACTTAAGCAAGGACATATTGTGGAATAGTGGACAGAAATTGTAAGAGCCAGAGTGGCAGGGAGTTGGCTGTGAGATTGTGTTTCCTAGCAACATCAGAAGCTATACCTATAAATTTCCATTGCTATGACTGTCCAAACATGAGCTGAACAAGGAAGGCACCAATGAACAAGTCAAACTACAGTGGGGAATTGTTCAAGAGGCCTCAACCCTACACAAAGAACTAAAGGCAAAGGAGTTAAGAAATTTTTAGTTACCAGCTTAAAAAAAAGAGTTTACAAGGCACATATTGAATTTTGAATCTTGTTATGCTTATTTGAACCAGTATGTTGGAACTTATGAAAGAGCAGTTTTAATTTTAACAATGATAAGTTACAGTAATTTCATGTGATTAAAGGAAAAAAGTTACTTTAATGTATTTTATTACATCTCCTGGTGTGAATTGCTTTCTATGCTAGACTTGCAGAATCATGCTCTCATTTACTAGTTATAAATTGTGGCTCTTGTTTCCCTATGAGCAATATGCTACAGATAGAACAATAATGGTCTTCTATAAAAATATGTAGATTCTCCATAGTAGATACCCTTCATGGGACAATAACTCACATTTATGACTTGACTGTGAGTTGAATTCATCAAGCAGCATTTATGCACAGACAAAAAGAAATCTTCACTTCATGGTGTGCTTTGCAATGCTTATTTTGTTCCACTGTGTTATATGGAAATTCTTGCAATAAAAGGAGATGAAGTGATTTTAAGGATTAATACATTAGTTGGGTGAAGCAAAGGAGAAGTGTCATGCGATAGGATGTCTGACTAATAGTGAGTACAATAAAGAAAAATTTGAATGTGTGCCACATGATTCTGTAAGTCTCTTGAATTAGGTCACAAGTTCTAGCGCTGAGCTAGTAATAATGATTTTGAGAAAATAATAAATATCTACTTTAGCCTGTACATTTACAATGGAGCAGATTCACAGGAAAGGGCAATATTTTTTGAGTAGTGGTTTTACTTAGCTATGAAAAAGCTGGCTTAGAGTCTGGGCTTTGTGCTTATTTCAGAGTGTTGGGGAAAACTATTTTCTAATTAACCACATAGTTATGTAATTATGGAAAACATTGTCTACTACAGCACATTAGTGACTTTTCTTTCTTTATTATAGATTTTTAGAAATCCAGTAAGAAGCCACCATCTTCCTCTTTGAAAATGAGCCTTTATTTCCAAGGTACATTTGATATATGTCAAGGAGTTAGAGCTCAATGAATTCAAGACATTGCATGTAACAGACCTAGCAGAAACATAAAACAATGATTTTTTTCCAAATATTTCCCATTACTTTTCACTATTACTATTATGTTAACAAGAGTTAGTGTTTTTAGGCATGATGTTCTCTAGACATATAGAATTTATATCCAGAAACACTGCATGATGGAAGGTGTATGTCAAAGGTAAAAACAAAACAAATAAAAAAAATCAATTTTTTTTTCAGAGAAACCAAATAATCCACATACAAACACTTCTTTTATAACCTTTTGGCAATGTTGTGTTCCTTGAACTTCTCAACAGTGACTCACAAAGGAAAGAACACTACAATTATCCTGTCTGTAACAACTACAAAATTAAAATTAGTCATAATTACTTTTGCTCTAGAATAATAACGTGAAAGCTTTTGAAAAAAAGTATATATTTTCCCAAGAAAGGAGCTATTTCATACATAATGTAAGCATATGCCAACATATTTACAACATATTATAAAAAGTTTCTCTGCATAATATATCTGCCACTGGGTTTCTCAAAAGCCAATATACAATTTCTGTTTTATTGCATGAAAAAATTTAGAGTAGAAGTCTTATTAATAAAATTCCTCCCCTTTTCTCAATTTAACCAGTAAAGCAAACATAAACAAAATAATATTTATTTGCTATGTAATAAAGAAAAAGTCCTGATGAACCAACTAGTATAGCAAACATAAACAAAATAACATTTATTTGCTATGTAGTAAAAGCAAGTTCTGATGAACCAGTAAAGCAAACAGAAACAAAATAATATTTGCTCTGTAATAAAAACAAGTCCTGATGGTAGACCTCATGTGTATTCTGCTATTAAATCATGTCAGAGGAAACAGAAGCAAAGGAAGAAAGAGGTGGTTGATGAAGGCAAATGGATTGATTTAAGATGATATACTGTAAATTAGATGTCCAGCAAGTCCACATCCTCTAACTGAAGAGAGGTCTTTACCTATCTTAAATCTATTTCCAAATGACAGAATAGCAAATGCACCCAGACATTTATGGAGAAGGATGTGTTATAATAAAGGGCTATATTGTAGAGAAAGCACTGTGCCATCTCTTGTAAACTTAACATTTTAAGAAGTTGAAATTAATATTCATGAAGTAATTGTAAAAGTCTATAATAATATATATTGAAATAATAATTTTTGAAGAACCATAAGAAGGTTATGGGCTTTGAGTAACTAGAAATGATTAAAGATCATATAGTTACTTAAAATGGGAAAAGATAGTTGATGATGTTTCAGTAGATGAAGGAACAGTGGATGTCATCTGTCTCTGTTGCAAGGACCTTAGCTTCAGGAGAGTATATGTCCTTTATTGTGGGTGTAAACAGAATGAACTTTTACACTAATGCTGTGCAGCCTTTTTGAGTGGAGAAAATAGAAAATGATAATGAAGTAAATCAAATGCAAATCATTATGAAAGTATGTTAATACTTCAAATGAATGCATTATCTTCAATATTTAATTTTTAATTAATACAACTGACAATGTCATACTTGTATACAATTCATTATGCCAATACAAATGTTTTAAAAATGATATCATGTAAAAGTAGCATTATACTGAGTTCCAGTCTAATAATATAATAATAGAGACCCTTGCATTTTACATAGGGATATTTTTTTTTTTTTGTACATGTGCAATAAATGGTGAAACCTTTCCACAATGAATCTGTTGTCATGGCTTCCTTTCCCCATTGCTATTCTCCCCAGTTTATTTCCCCTTTTATTGCCCATTGCTTTTAGAAGGAATAAATATTAATGAGTTCCACAATGTAGTTTGTACTCCTCTGTTAACACTAGAGAGAGTACCTACTCCCTATTGAGTAATCATTAGCAAGGCAGTGAACAGCTAGTGGCAGCCACAAACCATTTCTTTTACATCCTTACATAGCAGGAGTGTGCCTCTGAAAAAAAATGCTATTCATTCTCCAGTGCACATCCCTGAGTGCTAGTTTCAGAATTCCTTCTGGTGCTATCAGTCACCTACAACAGACTTCACGAACTAAGTGCGTAAGGGTGACAAAAAGAATACAAAGCACAACCATTTGATCAAGTCATGGTAGAAGAAATTTTATACTCTATCTTTCTCTTATTAATGGAAGGTCCTGTACTAACAATTATGGATTTTTTTCCATCTCAGGTAATAAGTCTGATGTACAACGAAATTATCCTGTTTTTCCCAAATTTTCCAGAAATATATAACAGGTTTTTACAAATGTATAGCCAAGTGACCTGAAACAGGAATCTGAATATGGCTAAGACTACTTTTCATTCCCCTTTTCTCCCATGTGCATTATTGTAAGAACTATGGAATCAAGGCTTTTCTGGAAATACATACCTAACCCTCCTGTTTCTCATCTTAAACTGGTGATTCTCTTCATCCATTTATAAAGGCCAATAGCAGTGTTAGAATTAAAGAAAGATTAATGGAGAAGCATATGAGAAGTTTCAGGTTTAGGATACTTCACATGGTGGGCTTCTCCAGCTCTGGTAGTAAATCACCCATATCTTGCACTTGTGTTGCATTCATTGTCTTCTTTAATTAGAAAATCATTTTAAAATGTATCAGCTTTGGGAGTCAGACCTCCACAATCTCAATCCCCCCAGTGCTCAGAAACTAGGTAACTCTATAGTATGGTGACTATCTTCCAAGACACTAACTGTGGCCTTTGCTTACCTATAGAAATCACAATCTCACTGGGTATCTGTGGTGATGATGTGTTTATGATGTAATAAAGCTTTCCTGGAGATCAGAATGCAAACGAGTTAGCCATAGAAGTTGGACAGTGGTTGGTACACACCTTTATTCCCATGACTCAGGAGACAAAGGCAGATGGATCTCTGAGAGGCCAAGGCCACCCAGAGCTACACAAGAGTGAATCAGTCAAAAAGAGAAACAGACCTCATTCCTTTAATCCCAGCATTAAAGAGGTACATATAAAGAAAAAGCAAAGGGTCTTATGTAGGCAATTAGTCTCTAGTCATGTTGAAGAGAGCATTGCACTCTAGACAGTTTGAGGAGCAGTGCAGTTTGGAGGTGCAATCTGAGATTTGGTGGATTGCTTCTTTGGTCTGAGCACTGGTGGAGGTAAGAGATCTCTAGTGGCTGCCTGCTTTGCTTCTCTGATCTTCTGCATTAACCCCTGTATCTATTTCTGGTTTTTTACTATCCATGCTACAGGTAACATCAAGGATTTGCATTTTCTTAAAGTATTCAGGTGGTTCTTGAACTACACATTGAGGTTATATTCTTTGGAGACCAATTATTTACCCAATAAGTAAGTCCTTATAATGGTTAAAGTTGATTATCAATTAACAAGATCCAGAATCACCTTGGAGGGACTGTCTGGGTATGGTTTTTTTTTTTCAGTTATTATGTAGATAGTTTAGATTCTCTGTGGGATTGTTAAGATTAGGCTGAGATGTGAAAACCTACCTTTACACTCCATGGTACCATTTCATGGGCTAGGGTTTTATACTGAATAAAAAATAGAAGGCATATTGAATACCTACTTCATCCTTGTAGAGGCATATACTTTTCTACATGCAAATAACTAGCATAGGGTCTTAGTTAATATCATTTTTATAGATGCTATTACTATTATTTTATAGTGGACATTTGGGGTTTAAATTTAGATATTTATAAATATTGACATACACTCATGTTGTTGGAAATATTTTGTTTTTCTCACTTTTTAACATACCATAAAATCATTACCTATTATGCTTTTATCTTAATACTGTCTATATATATTGTTAGGATATCACATGAAGCTTTCTTCAGGAAACATGTATAAAGAATAATTTTTTTATTCTTCTGGAAAATATTTTTGGTCAATGGCATTTATATTTACTATTAGTGAATTGAAGGAAGAAAAAGGAAATGAAAGACACGAATAGATAAGAGATGTTTATATTTTTGCGTTCCATTTCTTCAATTTCAAAAGTGTTAACCACTTGGGTGTACCACTGAAATGTAGTAGTTTGTCAATAACTTATAGTAACTAAATTCTGTTGAGTCTTATGTTTGTAAATATAAACTTGTAGTCTAGAGATTCTGGGTAATTATGAGTATTAAAGAAAATTCTAGCTGGGCGTTGGTGGTACATACTTTTAATCCCAGGACTCTGGAGACAGGAGGCAGGAGGATCTCTGTGAGATCAAGGCCAGCCTGGTCTACAGAGCAAGTTCCAGGACAAGCTCCAAAGAAATACAGAGAAACCTTGTCTCAGAAAACCAAAAAAAAAAAAAATAAATAAAAATAAATAAATAAATAAATAAAAAGAACATCTTATGCCAAATATAATTTAATTGATCCAGTCATTATTCTTCTAGTTATATTATATCCTTAATAATATTTTAGCTGGACTTTCTAAACAAATATGGCATCATTAATTACATAATTAAATACAGTATTTAATCTCTTAGTCTAATTATTTTGCAACAGTATTTGTACATGGTATCAATAATTCAAGCTCCCACCAATGAATACTTTTCAAATTATTTCAAAAAATAAAAAGAAAGAATCACTTTTAATCTCCTTCTATGTAACTAGTATTATTTTATGCAAAGCCATGTAAAAGCACAACAACAACAACAAAGGATATTATAGGCCAGTATCCCTGATGAGCATAGATGCAAAAATTCTTAACAAAATACTTCAAACTGAATACCAGCATACATATAAACAACATATAACGTTGGCTTCACCTAGTAGATACTTGGATGGTTAGCCCCACTGAAGTTGATAATGTTATGAAGAATAAAATGGATTTAAAGATAAAAATCACATAAACATTTAAATAGATGCCGAAAAGGCCTTGGAAAAAAAAATACAATATGTTTTCATGACAAAAGCCGTAGGAGAATGGGATTAGAGGAAATATGACTCATCATCATAAAAGATACATAAGTTAAATACAAAAGAAA